TGAAACTCCTAGAAAATCTATTTCACCAATGGATTTTTTTTTTAAATTACTTTGGCTGCAGAAAAATGGAAAATGCTGTTTTTCTGACCAACGGTGCTGGGCAACAGAGGATATGTGTGTTTCCTTTTTCTTAACAGCCAACCAGCGGCCAAGCGGTAAAGTTGCTGAACACTGCTAGTGCGGTCCGAGGTTCGAATCCCGGGAACGGGCTGGCTGCATGTGTGTTTTCGTGGTTTTCCCCATCTGTAACATGTATACGAGCCAGTTTCTCTTAGAAAATCCTTCACGAAGGCATCCCTCCCCTTAGGCAGATAGCTCTAGTGTTCTTTGCCATAATTAAATACACCACATCACCACACTCTTTTCTTAACCTATGCCTCATGTTCGTTCTTTAATGCCAAATTTTAGGCTCTCTTAGTTTGACCAATGTAAGTTAAACGACAGTGGCAAGGACTCCTATATAAATACCCTAGGAATTCATATCCAGAATGGGGCCCTTAAGTATGGAACTGGGAATTTTATTATAGAAGAAAAAATGATCTAAAAGTTCTGTAAAATAGTGCAGTTTTATAGCTAATCGTTGGAAAGAAAGGAACGACAACAGAATTCTTTTGATCTAAAACGAGAGGATGCATTTTTGAGATATTGAGATGACAATTTTTAAAACACTTGTATTAACAAATTAACAATAATGTTGGGTGAAAAGCCCCTGTAATAGCATATGCTTTTAAGTAATTTAGTTTTTGATCAAGAATCAGTTTGGAGGAGCAAACGTGAAGTGTACATAAAGCAAAGGAATAAAATGAAACTATCTTCTGTTTAGTCAAATGACATGATTTGAAGTATGGTGGAAGGCAAAACGGTGAAGGTTTACGGTAAACAGTAGTATTGAAGTTGGATATGTTACATACGACCAAAATGTCAAAGAATGGAAGACAATTAGATGTCAAGTTCAAAAGTGAACTGAATAGCAGGATCAATGGAATTCATTATTGAAAGAACTTTATTTAAATTATTTTATTCTTTTCAAACAGGATAAAAGTATCATCTGTGTAGTGGAACCATACCAAGAAGTTTAAAATTTCAAATAATTTGAATACCCTGGGAATTCATATCAGGTATTAGGTATCAGCAAGGATGGGACTAAGAGCTCTTCCCATGGCTAATCCCTCAGTTGGCTTGTAATACGTATTTTAGAAAACAAAATCTGTTTGTTCCAAATAAAATTGAGTGAGGGAAATTAGCTCATCAGTTTCGATGTAGGAGAAATGAAATTCACGAAGTCTGGCTTCTAGACATATTAATGCACCTTCCACTGGAACATTGGTAAATAATAATTTTACATCAAAAGAAACCATGAGTAAATTCCCGGAAGAAATGCTTTTAACTTTTTTATAAACTGTATTGAACTTTTTATGGTGTAAGTGTTATTATCTGATAAAGTGGAAAATCTAGAAATTGATACAATAGGGTGGAAAGGAATACCACTTTTATGAAGTTTGGGAAGAGCATATAATCTGGCACAATTTGCAACAGATGGGATAAGCAACTCTTTTTAAGTGTGTAAGGATTTGTGAAGATTTGATCAGAGTTTTTATTTTTGAGAGGTCAAAGGTGAGGGTCTGTAAAGATTGGAATCTTTGTATAATGATTGGCCCTTCAAATTTTGGGCAGAAAATTAGACGCTTTTTTTTTTTTTTTTTTTTTTTGTGTGTGTGTGTGTGTGTGTGTGTGTGGAGGGCAAGACAATAAATGTTTTACTTTAAGCACTTTGTCCCCAGTTTTAAACCCGAAATGGTTTCTTTTCCATCATAACAAAGCTTTTCTTTTGGTCTTGCAATATCCAAATTTACTGCCACTTCTTTAAACATTTTCTGAATATCTGTTTAAGTTCTGCCTCCTGTTTCTACATGAAAAACAATTTGTCCGAGGAGGTAATTATTTTTGGGAGGAAAATTAATTCTGCTGGCATTTTTCTAGTAGTGTTATATTTGGCCCTTCTTAGGGCAAAAGCCAATTCATTGATGCAGTCATTCCTCCATCGGCAGTAAGTTATTACTTAGCTGTGAATAATTTTAACTATATTCCTGTTTATGTGCTGTACAGTATTCGATTGTGCCGGATAAGGAATCATCTTTAAATGGTGTTAGCCAAGGCCTGCACAGAAATCTTCAAAAATTTGACTAATAAACTGTGGGACCAGTGCATGAGATAACCCCAAGTGGTGCACAATATTTTAAGATACATTTATTTAAAAAAGAATGAGATAGGTCTCTTAAGGGAAACTATTTCTATCCACTTCGAAAAATGATTGACAATAATGAGCAAATATCTGTTTTTATTACTTTCACTACATAGATATGAGTTTAACAAATCTATTCCTATTAATTCATTTTGGAAAGTAGCTCTTATGCTATTTAGATACCCAGCTGGACTATAATTTACATTGTTAACTAATTGACAAATATGGTTGGACCTGACATATTCTGTGATAAATTTTTGAAGTTGCGGATAAAGAATACCTCAAGCACTCTCTGCCCTGTTTTTCTAATGCCTTGATGGCCTGTAGTAGGTGCATCATGGAATTCTAGCAAAACACAACCATAATGTGGCTGGAATGACTGGTTTTAATTCACTATTCTTATTTGTTGTTTTAGAATAAAACAAGAGCTTATCAATTATTTCATAATTTGCTGCTCTGATTTTAATGACCAATATATCCAGAAGTTCAAAGTTTTCTGGATCAGTTTGTAATTCGACAATGATAGTTTCACGAGAGTCTAGGTTTTTTTATTGCAATTATCTCAGAATCTTCAGTTTGTATTTCTCTTGGAGAAATTTTATAGTCTAGGTATCCAAACTCCTTTGCCGTGAATAGCTACATTCACTTTTAAACCTACTTCTCTTAATAATGTAAAAATTTTATATATATCTTTAATGTGGTCGTCAATATTTCCACTAGTTACTATCATGTCGTCAAGATAAATGAAAGTTGATTTTCCAAGGACAGCTTTTAAAATAATATCCATTGTTCGACAAAAGGTCGCTGGGGCATAAGTGCTGATTTTGTCATGAATGTGGTTTTATTGAACATCCTCAAGTTCCATAGCTATTTGAAAATACCCTCAAGTGTGATCTAACATGGCCATGTATTTAGTTGATTTTATTTTCGTTATGATCTCTTTGATTATAGGTAGTGGATAATGGATAAACGGTATATTTCGTTAAACTATTAACTTCCTATAGTCAATAGCAAATCAAGTTTGTGTGAGAAAGATCATTCTTTTTCTGGCATAATACTACCAGACTAGCATACAGACTGGTGATGGGAATAATTATTTAATGTTATTAATTATTATCCCTTATATGTTTTTCAGTAATCTCTTCTTTTACTTTATCTTACTTATATGGTTTTGCCCTACGGGGGGGGGGCTGTTGTTTTTTAGTTTCATGTTACACCTGGTTTATCAGAAAAAAAAAATTAGAAAAATTTCTTACCAAGTCTTTTAGTGTCTTCTTGCCATTAGGTTTCATATGGCCCAATTCCAAAATGGGTGTTTGCACTGTTTTGTCTTGCATCTATCTGTAGCTGGAGAGTTTTATCCTGAAAATTTATTTGCACTCTGGCTGAGGCATGAAGATTTTTGACAATAAGAAATATACTCTTTTAGGACTCCTTTTTAACTTTGAAAGTGGCATTACCCTATACACATGCAATTTTTCCTTTGTGCAGCAATAATTTTTGTGTACTCCACACTAAATATTCAAATACCATACAAAATGAATTTCATTGATAGTCTATAGAGGTGTCATTCATTATGCAGAAACTTTGAGATCGCAGCACATAAACTTTGTTGGTTATGTGCTGTGATATCATAATTCACAAATCTGAATGTGCATGTGCTTCCTGCTGAAGATTTATAACTATGCAAATCACCACAGCTTTTTTTAATAACTTTTACACATAGAATTATTCCTTACATTTTACTTTACAGTGTAGATATATATAAAATATATTTAATATTTATTACAATTAATTCATAATATTAATTTAGTAAAATCCCTCTAGTAATTTAACTATGTAGTTTCCCAAATATAAATAAAAGAATGGAAAGAAAAATTGTAAAGCTGTTCAATGTAGTTGAGATTTAGAAGTCAGGAAGAATTAAAATCAGGTTTAAAATTAGCGGACTAAATTTTGTAAACATTTCAGAATATATAAAATGAAGCTGATGTTTAATACTTTCCTCCTTTAAAATTACATTTTTGTGGGGTGCAGATATTTATAAAAATTTTGCTATTTATCTGAAAAAACTGCTTTTCTAACAATTTGTCATGAGTATATATATTCCAAATTAATTTGTTCATGTTTGCTTATGTATTTCCCCTGCATTACATATGACCCTTATTCAATTGCAGAGCTCAAAATTTAAACAAAGGAAACAAGCCTTTAAATACCTCTGTTACTATTGCCTAGCCCTTTTTCTCTCCTTTCTAGAGCCAAATTAAAAAAAATCTAGAGCCAATTCCTAAATTTTGAGAGCCTGTATATATTTTATACCGGTGCCCCTCTAAGACAATTTTTTCCAGGTAGCTGCCAATTGTTAATTTTTGTTTTTTAAATTAATTTTGTGTACTTTTGATGTGCAAGTTTTGTGTGATAAGCCCTTTTTCTCCCTTTTCCTGGGTGGCCTTTTTAGGAGCCACCCTGATTTTACTTTCTGCTTCATTCATTCTTTAAAAAGATATAAGCTGTTCAAAGTTGTGGGGTGCATGTTGCACCTATAAATGATGCTTGTGAATATGTTTATGTGTATCAAGGCTTGCTCTGTTATGAAAATAAAATTATGTGTTCAAATCAGTGGCCACGTCTGAAAGCTTTTCTTTCCTATCGTCTCATCTTAATTATCCACACAACTATTTTTTTCTTTGTATCCTCAAGTCATCTATTGAATTATTACATATATGTTCTTTATTTTTTCATTACCTTTTAATCATAGATACCGACACCACCCCAGCTAGAATCAGAATTTGTGATCATCGATGTAGCAGAATGCATTGAAAGTGATATAGGAAATGCAGAAGAAACTTTCCAGACTTTAGAGAAAGACTTGTTGCACCAAATTGAAGTGAGCCAAAGTTTTATATCAAATGTTGTTTCTTATATTTTCTTAGGCTTAACCACAGTTATATAAAAGCATACATACATTAAAATGGTAAAATTAAACATTTTTATAAAGACAGTATTTTAATGTTATATATTTTATAATTGTTTATATTGTATTATTTCCAGGCTTGTACTAAAAATAAGGAACACTTTCTTCGTCTTGGGGATGTGTCATCTGCATCAAAGTAAGAAACTGGACTTTCTGAAATCACTTTTATGCATTCACTGTGTTATTATTCTTTATATATAAATATATATATATGTGCAGTAGACTTCCAATTAACAGTGGAAATACTGAGGATGATGTCCACAGTGAAGATAAAGTCACAGTGAAGATAAAATCACAGTGAATTTGAAAACAATGAAAAAAGCATGAGAAAGGAATAATGAATATTTCAATTAATGGAAATGCAACTAAGAATGTACCTGTGTTTTTTAGGCATTGTAACATAAAGAATAAATTCACTTAGTTACATAAATCAGTATCCAAAGGGGCCTTCAAATAATGAAAAAATAAACATTTATTAGAAATTTAAAAAATGGAGTTATAAATTACATTAAGGAATCATCGTTACAAGAAAAACTTTATCAATATTATTGAGTTCAAACTCATCTAAAATATTCATTTAGAACATTAAAATTTTTGGCAGAGGTTTTTTTTTTTTTTTTTTTTTTTACCCTTTGAAGGGCACTGGTTTATAATATACCGGTTGTTTGTCAATTTTTTAACCTCGGAAAAAATCCTAATTTCTCTACACCAAAAGCTATAATCATAAGTTTCTGGAGTTTCTTTTTGATTCTAAATGGCAGCACCACCCTATGAATGCTCAATATTTTGCAGTTATGAAATTAATATACCTCGTTCCAAGGTATTATGTTTGAAGATTGATAAATTCTATTGGAGGGAAAGATAAAATTCAAAATCTGTAAATATATGACGTACACATGCTGAACCTTTTATATTTACTGCATTTCAATCAAAACTGATTATTAAAAGAAGATTATGTATATGTTCTTAATACCGGTATGTAATATATACCGGCGCCTCTACTGAGGGTACCTTGCCAATAGATGGCAGCACCAGGCTTCTCCTTCTCTACTGTGTGAGATAACAGCATTTCTTTACATTATAGTAGTTTATGATGTAATAATTTGTTTATAATTAACTTACAAGCTGTTTAGGATTCAGTATTATGTTCATGAAAGGATGGGGAGTTTACTGACCCTCCACTAGGACTGAATACAAGTATATTTGTTTCTTTTTATTCTTTTTTTTACTCTGTGCGAGTTTCATTCGTCTCTATTTATCTAAAATTGTAACTTCAGCACTGCACCCTTTCCCAAGAGGAAGGCTCATTGATTTCAAAACTGCCATCTGGGGTCAAAATTTCACACAATTGTAGGGGTTAAATGTGGCATGTTAGCCCCCAAAAGACACCTGTTGCTTCGTGTTTTCCAAAATCCTAGAATGCAACGAAAATGAAAGGAGGTGATTGACAACTGATTTGTCATTCAGGAGTCACACCTTCTTCCCTTTGTGTGATGTGATAAGATCACATAAAGAGAAAGCTCATCTAAAATTACGGGAGATGGAAGTGCACTTATGGTCCATCTCTTAGTGTAATCACAAAAACTGCTGATTTGAAAGCATGCTTTTTTTTCTTATCGTCTTTGTTAATTTCAGATGAAAGACTAGGGAATGGAAGAAAAATTTAGGGTTAGGTAACAAATATGTGGTTTTTGAAATAAATTTCACAGTTGGTGAAATGAGGGAAAATATTTCTAAGGCCCGTTTTAGATGCAAACTAGAATTTATCCAAAAGTTGAAAAGGAACCCCTAGGAGGCCAAAGGGGTTGAAAATCGAAATAAGAGCTTTGAGGTGTATAAAATAATAAAGTTGTTTAACGGCGTTTTTTCCTGAACAAAAAGATATATTACAACCTATATTTACAAAAAATAAAAAAGGGGGTCCGTACGGTCCTCAATAATCTAAAGTGTGTGTGCGTGGGAGGGGCGGATTTTTGGTATCGTAGCATGAACCATGTTTTTTTTTTTTTTTTTTTTTTTTTTTTTACACATTATCTAAAGCATAAAATATGACTTCAAATATGCAGCGTACTTTCTCATCTGAATCCCTAAGTTCCATTTTTTAATTTTTTTTTATTTTTCGGCTGTTATATCTCCTTGTAATATTATACTAGTTGCAACATGATACAATTTACACATGCAGTGTCATATTTACTAATTCTTTTTAAAAAATAATAATATTGAATTTAAATCAAGTTCAAAAACTTTTTACCCATATTTTACATAAATATGTTCAGCCGGGTTGCAACATCAAAGTGCATAAAAACATAAATTTTATATTTAAATTTTTAGATTTCTACTGAAATTTTAGAAGTTTTTGTCTTCAGACTTGCATAACTATATTCAAACACCCATCTCTACAAATGCACATCAAAAGTACACAAAATTAATTTAAAAAACAAAAATTAACAATTGGCAGCTGGAAAAAAATTGTCTTAGAGGGGCGCCGGTATAAAATATATACAGGCTCTCAAAACTTAGAATTTGGCTCTAGATTTTTTTAAGTCTCAATTTTGTATCCTTAGGGTCCATAAGTTATAGTTCATGCAAAAATTTCACCAAAATTTAAATTATTTTATATACTGCCCCTCAAAGGGTTAAATGTCTTGTAAAGAATCTTATCATAATTCAGCAGATTATCATCTTGCCCTTTCAGATAATCAAGACAAAAATAGTGTCATTGATCACCTCAAAAAGTACTGATGAGTGAAACGATTAAAGCCAAAACTAATGTGCACAGGTGGCTTGGTTTATTATACAAATTTGAAGGAATGGAAGGGCAGGGGTAAAGTAAAAGGGATGAAGCCAATAAGAGAGCACCTTTCAATTACTCAATTGTTGGGTTGATGCTCCTGCTGTATATATTTTTGTTTACATTATTCTTGTATTTCGGTAGGAGTTAACATGAAATATAAGAGTAATGCCTGTACATTTGATTTATTTTTGCAAATGAGAATCTATATATTCTAAATTGCCAACAGTTAACTCCTAAGTAGTATAACACCATCCATTGTCACTGCTATTATTCCATGTTCTTCTTTTTCCTTTTGTTTTACTCTGATGGTTTGTGATAGTAACATGAGAAATGGCATCCTAATCTTGCCAATGACATGTATCATTTCCAACTTTATTATAATAATTCTGACATTATGAGGGTGTCATTGCCATTGCAACATACCATTTTAAAGAACTATCAAATAATGGGTTACCAGCAAATTGAGATTGACAAAAAGCATGTAGCTTCTAAAAGTTCTTTTTTATAGGTAATAATCGTTGCTCTGTTAACTGATTTTCTAAATAAATAAAATCTTAGAACTTTATGAAGCTCCTTGTATAAGATATTTAATTGCTTTTATATATTGCATTGATTAAAAAATGATTTACAGTTACATGTTTATTCCCTCAGATTTGAAAAATTTGGCTTAGAATCAAAAAAGGATCTTTTAGTAATACAACATCTGCGAAAAACTGGTGGTCTAGCACCAAAATTTCATTATGAAACTCGACTTTTTTCAATGGTTAAGTGAGTTGCTTTAATTGTATATGTAAAGTTGCAGTTTTTTATCATTTGTTTGTTTCATGAGTTATGTGTATTGTCATAAAAGAAGTCTTGAGTTATGTGTATTTTCATAAAATAAGTCTAAAGTTATGTTCTTAGTGCCATATGCTGATCATGAAATGTATGTAAAACAGTATAATGTAACTAGTTTGCAGTTCTTTTTTAACTGGATTTTTCAACCACCATACATTTAATATCTTTAGCATCAGATTTAATGAGAGTTTCATGAACTCTGTACATTAACAAGATACTTTTTAAGACAATCAGTTTTAATTATGTGAGATTGTCTTAAAAAATTTTTAAATAGTTTTAATTATGTGTCAATTAATGTGAGAAAATGAACCATGAATTTATCATCATTTTTGTACATTAAATGTTTATTTTTATCAAATGTTATTATTGAGTGATTTTTATCTCAATTTCTTTATAATATATCTCAGAAGATTATTGGTAGCATTTTTATCGGAATTGTAAATATTTATGTTTAAGGAAGAATAATTATTCTTAATTAAATAAAGAAGTGCTTATTTTATGCAAAGGTCTTTCATAATTTAGGTGCCATACTGATTTGGGAGATAATGACTTGGAAGTAACTGTTGAACGTGGTATAAATTTACCTGGTAAGTAGGATTTTAAGTGATAGTAACTAAAATAATTTTTAAATATAAAATGCATTTCATTTACTGAAACACGTAGAATTTATTCAAGTGAATGAATAATATGATGATGATGATTTAGTTAAATAAAAAATGCACATTTCCTGTAATTACATTAACCACTTTTAATATACACTGAAGTGACTAAGCCAGATCCTGAGTTTTAATTGCACACTTCAGCTGAAATGACTCAGTTGCAGTTAAACTCCCTTATATATACAGGGCTTTTCAGTTTCCCCGTGTAGTGTTAGGATTATTTTATATTAAAGATCTTTTAGATTTTGTATTCAAGTGTTTTATCAATTTTAAACAAATATTTCTAGTTTAAAAGCAGTTCTTGTAAAAATATGTGTGGTGAATAAACAAAATAAAATACATAATTAAATAAATGGCAGGCAAAAATATGAAATACAGATGTTCAGTACTTTAATGGTTGTTATATTTTTCTTTTTTTAAAATATATTTCTTTTTTAAATATATTGATTTATATTATATATCATGGCGTAATGTCCTTATCCAGGCTTTATTTTTACAACCACTGGTGGTAGATGCATGCATCAAATTACAAACGTGTTTTAAATGACAAAACTATTAAATATTCACATTTAAAAAACCGATTTTGTAAAAAATTACAAAATCTGACTTTTTATATGTTCGTCAAGTCCATATAGTTAATATTTAGTAAGCATTATTTCTAATTTTTAAAGTATCTCATATATTATGTCTCATTTTTTAAAATAAAACAGAAATTTTTTATTTCCATGCCAAAAGTGTAATTATATGACTGTGGTATTAAAATAACAAAATATGGGATTTTTATCAGCTTTTTTTTTTTTTTTGCCTTTTTTTAAGGGCCATTAAAAATAAATAAGAAAAATTTAAGATTGATTTCCCCTGTTTATCATCATTGAGTTCCATTGTTATTTACTTGCATGTAATATTCCTTAGCTTTCTGTTTACATTTGGTATGCTGAAAGCATTTTCATATTTTAGAATGAGTATAAACCTTTACTAAATGTAACTGTATGGGCAAGCATATTATGGTGTAGTGGCCAAACCCACTACCTAAAGTCCCTGTTGTAAGGCAGGGTTGAATTGAATTTGCAACTCAAGTTATAAAACTAATTAATTATAGTACCACTTGAAAACACAAAAATTTGCAAATTACATATCACTTTATATATGCGTATATATATAATCCCCAAAGCATTACTTTTATAACTATAATAGGAGTTGCTTTCTTCCCTGAGGATTGATTGACATTAGAATCTGTCCAGTCAGGATTTAAAAATGTCTTTCTGCAGACATTTTGCAGCTAAAGGAAGAAAGAAATCTATGTAATGAAATTATACAAAAAACATATAGGTTTTAAGTTGAATTTTTAATTTTACGGGTGTAAAAGCATTTAGTTTACTATCCCGAGTTATCTCGGGTGAAGGGGGAAAAAGTTATTAGTCTTTGTATGATAGTTTTTTTGAAACAAGGGACAACACAAAGTGATACCTGACATTGTATACACTGGTATCTGGTCTCTTTTCTTACTGCCTTATCTCTGGAATCTCTTTTATGGGTTTATGGGAACACAGAGTACACTGTCTCATTGGATTTTATTTTTTTTTTTTTTTTTTTTTTTTTTTCCCAGCAGGAATAGCATCTGGAAAATGTCCACCTCTTCATAATTACTATCTGAAAAATCATCGCTTTCGCTACCCTGCATAATCTCCATTATTTTTCTTTTTTTTCTTTCAACTCAACTATCCTTCTGTATACATTACTAATTCACAAGCCAACGTATACTATACAATAAGGAAAACACGTGACCAGTCCTGCCAAACCAACAAAACTTGGCAAACTGCCAATCAAAGGTGAATATTTCCTTTCATTTCCTCCAAGCTGAGTAAAAACCGTGATAAAACAAATCACACTGACAATTCTGCTTCGCCCGAGTTTTCTCAGAGTAATAATTAACTGTGATATATACGAACCCGGGATAATCAGGCAAGCAGTTAACTAGCTTACCCTTTGCAATCCTAAACTCCTTTTCCTTTTCACTTTCTCTTTTCTTTTACAGAGCCACTAAACTGATACATGCCTTTTGGTTATCCTCAAATTCTGTTGGCCAAATATCTGGAAAGATAGATTTTCTTCTGAACCGATGCCTTGAATTTCAATGGATTCCTCCTTATTACTTCCTAGCTTTCAAAACCATACTATTGACAACGCTTTCACTTTTTATCTGTTCCTCATCTTCTGGTCTGGAATCTAAGGCTTCCTCATGTCTATGTGCAATCCCTTCTGTGCCTGCTGTGTCTAAACTCATCTAAACTCCTGTTCACTCGTGCCTGACTACAGTTCTCCACAGCATTCAAAAGAACCGGTCATTTCCTAATTTCCTCTATCAACTCGGTAGTTTCATTTCCTAACAGATACTATTCTTTATGTAACTTGACTGAAGTAACCACTGCCTTTGTTGTGGCCACACTAAAATCTTCTTCAATGATGACTTTCACCAAAGGTAAACATTTACATTCTGTGTCCAAAGGCTGTTGGCTGTTTCACCCGCAGTTTCCCCTAAGTCACTAGAATTAATCCAAATACTGTTATGTAAATCTATTCCAGCCCCAGTATCTCTCAGATACTTTTTCTCTACTCTATTAATTGCTACTTTCTTGAAGTACATCTCAAAATGCTTTCTTAAACTCTCTGTTCCCAAATTATTCTCAAGATTAGACTTATTTTTTTAGCAATGGATAATTAGGTTGGATGTGCCCATCCTTCCCACATTAGTTACATCTAATTTTCCGCTGTTTCTTTGAAAGCCTGCTCTTTTTTTAAACCCTTTTTTTTTTTTTTTTTTTTTCTGTGCTCCTCTGACTTATTCTCTGATGACCAGTACTTTTCTTATTATCACTACCATTGGAATTTACATACTGCTCTATAGTTTTCTCAATTTGTTTCTTAACCCCCACTGTCTGCTCTAGCCTTCTCATATCTCTTTGCAAAGCCTGTCACATTTCTCTGCTAAAATAAAAGCCATTTTAAATTCTTCCCAATTGTGTAAGTACTGCTCTCCCATTTCTAAAGAGACTCACTGCTTAATTTGCTTGTTGAGCATAAGTTCCTTAAGACTTTCAAAATCCGGATCTTCCACCGAATCCAACCAATTATCTAAATAAACTCTCACTTCATACACTATTTCCACCCATAACATCCCACTTATCCTAGAATGCTCTTCTAATTTTGTGTTTAGAGCGAAAGAACTGAGTGTAAATCTATGCATGAGTAAATTCTTAACATGCTGATAATCATCCCCTTTATCCACTGGTTCTTTTACAATCAACTGAGCTACATCATGAGGTAATAAAGGAATTAATTGCAAGACCCAATTAATCTCATTAACGTTCTTGTTTTGAGCCTGTTTCTGGAATAGCGTAAAGAACAAAGAAATATCTCTATCATTTCACTTCAAAACGCAGTAATATGTCTTTCAAATTAACCTTTTCTTCTCTAGGTTCTTCAACAGTCGAAACCATGGAAACTAAGCTGTTAGTCTCAGCTACTTGAATTCCCTTTCGTATTTCCGCTCTGCTTTCATTTGTTCCACCATTTTCTCTTAATTTTTCCTACTCAGCCAAAATTCTCACAACATATTTAGCCACTTCCGCATCATAGCCCTTGGCATCAAGAACAGCCTGCCTGATTTTTCTTATTTTACTTGCCTGAGACACATTTGTATCAAACTCCTTGGCTAACTCTAGCAGAAAAGCTTTAGAGAATTTCCTCATAAACTCATTCGTTATGAAAAAAAAATAAAGTTAAGAAAAATAACTTACCCTAAAATGTAAAAACATGTTTATTTCTCCAAAACTGAGTACTTCCTTAGTCTGAACATTTGATTGCCATTTAAGATGTAATGATATCCGAAATTTTTACTATACATATATACACAAAACATAAATCAGAAATGCTAATTAACATGCAAATTTTTCCTGCACTATCTCAGCTGTGATATATGTACTATGTGTCTTTGCCCTGTAACTTCATACTGATTTTTAAAGAAATAAAATTTTTCGCAAAGTGGACCGTGTTAATGCTTCTACCATTTTAAACCTCTTACTAGAACAATAAAACAGCCGCCCAGACGGTATAGTGGTTAGGGTAGCCTGACTGCGATACCGAAGGGTCTGCGTTCGATTCCCGGAGAAGGCATGGATGTAAAATTGTCTGTCCCTTCATAGGAGGGTAGAGGTGGCCCCACCTATTAGGTGCTTCCATAATAAAATGGCCACTATTACTGTCATTTGTAGTGGCCAATGCCATTATAGGCTAGTGACCGCCATTTGAAAAAAATAATACTAATAATAAAACAAACAGTTAAATTTCCATTAATAAGATTTTAACCACAATCAAAATTAAAATCCCCGTTAGTGGAGCTATACCCAAAATGAACTCTCTCGAATAACTTGCATAAACTTCTCTAAAATCACAAAAATGGTATTCACCAATATGAAGACATTTTCAATGACTACTGGACTCTACTGGAACTGGAACACACTTGGGTACACCCTGGAAATCTCCACTGCTGCACAGCACTAGATCGCAGTTTCCAACATTCCCTTCAGACACATAGTCATGTTTGGAAGAGTCCTCACTGTGCGAACTGTTCTTGCATGCAAAATTAAATTGTTCTTGTGCAGAGAAGACTATCTGTTGACTACTTACACAAAGTCCAACAACACTGCCTTTTCTGGAACTTGGATGATCCAGAACATTCACACAAGAAGATATATGGAAACTAACATTCAATGTTAGCTAAAGTAGAATTCTGGGAGTTACTACTGTAATGTATAGGATCGCCCAAGCAGTTGCTAATCTCATGTTGTAGCCAAATTTAGAAGCGATCTTTTATAAGGGTTCTTGTCACTCAGTGCATCCACAGGCAAGTTCATTTCTAATATGACTTTCAGGAATAATCCCAAACACAGCCATCAATTACAATATTACTGCTGTGGTGTAGTGGCTGAATCTGCTACCCAAAGCCCCTGTTTTAATGCATGGCTGAATTGAATTCCCAATTCAAGTTAAAGACAACATGAATTTTAATGAAGAACATAACTTTTAACAGGTGCATTTAAAAACCATCTGGGAAGAACAATCATCATTCAGTCCAGTAGTTTCAGAAACTGTTACAACAGCAATGTGCTAGGTCAACAGCCCACCGAAAGTTGTCATAGTTCACGTGTGCAAATTCCCATAGTTGCAGCAGGAAGGTCCAAGCAGCCAATGCTTTCCTGAAACCTCCTTTGCTTTTCACTCCAAGAACTTGACTGACCCTCACGGTGTCTCTACTCCTCTGCTAAATTGGAAGTGGGTCCTTCTATGGTAGGCAGCAAAAAGTGACCACATTCTGACTCCGCTGAAAGCGTTTCTATCCCAGGAATTATTAGGGTGACCTTGGAGTGTGAAACCAGAATAATTAACAATGTGACCTTGTTGGAACTGGATTTCTCCTCTGGTATGAAACTGGCATGATTGCATTCTGAGTCTGATCCCTCTGGGCGAAACTAGACAAGTAACATTTATGCTACCTTTTCACAGTGTCATACAAAAATGCAAAATGTATAATTTTTACAAAGTTGAATTTAATTCAGAAATACTGTGATGTGAATTTTCTTTGTTTAAAGCATTTTTGCAACTAAAAGTGTATTTATATATGTATTAAACATAACCACTCAGGGAAGATAAAGTTGTGCATGTACTTGAATACGCAGCTGACGGAATGAAATTGTTAACCATATGTCAGTTTGTGTTTGCTTTGCTGTGATTAGTCGATTCTGTTACCATATTGGCATAAGTTCAACAGTTAGAACATTTAGATAAAATCCATTTACCAGTTTCCATGATGTAGCAAAGTCTGATTGTCTAGCAATGAAGGACTTGGTCCTTGCAAAGCCCTCCATGTGAACATGTCATTATGGACACATTGTCTTTCCAATAACTTAAAAGTTCAAGTTTTGAATGTAGCTGGAGAAAGCGAAGGAAATTGTATGACATATATGCAAGATAAAATCTTAGTTAATTTCAAATAGCCTCTGAAATCTTCTGTTTAATTTTGGTATTTTCCATTTCTATTCTAAAAGCAGTAAAATACTTACAAATTTTTCCTGAGTGTCCCATTCCAAAATTAATAGCTGTTACATGAATCTAAGTACAGGTGACCCATGTACTTAGATAATGATAAAAATGAAAGTAAAATCACTTATCCAATGCAGTGATTCTATTATTCTATTGATTAAGAATCAAAGCAACTTCATCATTTCTTAATCTATCATAGTAATGTAGTTTTCCTTTTTTTTTATGCTTACTTTTGCCAAGTAAACATGTCGTCTGGAACTACTCTTTTCATCACAAATTGTAATGCTGCAAATGCATAGAACACGAGCTTGAGTATGTTCGAATGCAGTTAGCATCTGCATCATTTCGTTAATGTTTATTAGTCCATGAATTTTGCTTACATAATGATTACCAGGAAGTCCATGACTGCCTATTATAATAGAGGGGGGAATATAATATTCTAGGATCGTCATCATCTACATTGCAGCCTAAATTTTTATCACACAATATGATGCTTAGTTGAGACATTTTTTAAATATTGATGGTCTACTCTTACATCAGTTATGTAACAATAAAAATGGGTTACATAATCCATTGGCATAGATTTCATAAAAAGAGAAATTAATACTGTATGTACTGCTAGTTTAAAACAGTGAAAAGTGGATATTTATTATATACACTGCATTGTCACTGAAGGAATAGCAAGTCAATAACAAGTTGGGTCTCCTCTGGCCTTGATAATGGCCGTCACACAACAAGGCATAGATTCAATATGTGTGTGGAAGTATTCTATGGAAATGGCTTTCCAGCCATTGGATATAACTACTCATAACCCAGGAAGGATCACTAGTGTTGTGTGATGTGGTTTCGCACCTTTTTCCGAAATATCTGAAAGTGGTTAGCGCTTTAAGTCAGCACTTTTAGGTAGCCAATTCATGACAGAGAAGTCAGAGGAATGGTCATCCAACCAGGCAGTAACTAACTGGGACTTCTGCGAGATGCAGTTACCTTTCTGGAATACTGCATTTCCATGTGAATGACAGGACAACATAAATGGATGGAGATGACCGCCTAGCAATTCTATGAACCGAATCATATTGAGGGAGGTTGGTACAAGTATCAAAGATTCCAAACCACTGCTGAGAGAAAACACCCTAGACCATGACTAAGCCACAATTGCTTTGTACAGTTCCAAAATGACATGCCGGTTGCATGAACCTGACACCCTATTCTCAGCCTCCTGTTGGTGTTAAGTGGTTGGAATTGACTCATCACTCCACGCTATTCGTTTCCAGTCTTTTAAAGTCCATTCTCTGTGTTCTTTTGCCTTGGCAAGACCTGCAGCTTGATGGCATGCATTGAGCAATGGCTCAAAAGGCTCCCAAAGTCCCTATGGTAAAGCGAGCCTTGCATGATCCATTCACTGGCTATACAACTTGTGCCCTGATTCAGCTGGTAATTTGAGCTAATGTTTGTCTTCGATGACTTTGTATAATACGGAGTTGTCTCACCACGCTTTTTCAAGGCTAATTGTTCCTTGCAGTTTGCCTGATTACTAGTTCCCCCCACCTACCATCCATGTATTCTCATTATTATACTCTTGACATTGTTGACCTTAAAAATCCTAGCTCTCTGAAAATTTCAAAAATTAAGTGGCCCATGCGTTAAGTACGTATTGTCTGTCCATGATCAAATGTGTTTAAATCAAGTTTTACCCATACTGGCAAATGGAACAACTGATTAACAACAGGCATAGTACTAGCTATATAAGCAGTTACCACAATCCCCTCGTGTTAGCATAAATGCAGCACAGCATTACAAAATTTGCATAGACATGTCTGTCCCTAATTCAGTGTATAAGTATTTTAAAATTGAAACAGTTGTCTTAACTGATTTTTTTCTACATCAGATAGTAAAGGCAGTAAAAGACTATCACTATGAACATCCGGCATATACTGCACTCATAAAATGTGCATTCATCATTCTAAAATTTTGTGTTTAATTTTTTTAATCTAAACATTTAAACCATTATTTTAATTAAGACACAATAACACACTGAACAAATACTAATTCAGAAGTCAAACGACAAAAATCAGAGTTATATTTTCAAATTTTTACAGGACTAGTTTTGATGGTTTTACCGAACCATCAAAACTAGTCCTGAATCATTATTTTAATGTTTGACCTTAAAAGTACTTTTTAAACAATATTATTATGTTGGATATTTATATTATTAATCATATAAATTATATGTAAAACATATTCTCATTTATATTAATATAAATGAACATATATATATATATATATAATATTATATATAAAATGAAAATATTTTTTTGAAATTTTACATAAAGTTTATTCATAAGTGATGTATGTATGATGAACTGTTATGTTTATTTTCATGTTAATTTTTGCTCTATTTAGGGAAACCGGATGACCTGGATTCATATGTTAGACTTGAATTTCCAATACCTACAGTAAAGACTTTTTTTTTTCAATTATGAAACCTACTAATAATAACACACATGATTTTTTAAATATGTAATTTAAACATTGTTTATGTTGAACTTTTAGCTTGTTCTAATATTGGTGATACTTAAGTCTTCAATTGGTACATTATCAGTTTTAATATGAAGAAATGTGGCATTTGAAAATTTAATTCCATATTATTTTTTTTTAATTTTATAGGAAGCTCCCCAGAAGGCAAAAACTCATACAGTCCGTGACACTAATAATCCAGGTCAGATTTTTTTCTATTATTGCAGCACAATAAGACCTTTATTGTATGTCAGATGTAATTATAAAGTGTCTGAAAAAAAGGTCAAATTATTATTTGTAAGCTTCCTTTTAAAACCTATTTCATTTAAGTTTTAGTGCGATTTTTATGTCTCTGCTTGCTTGCTTTTTTCCCGGTATAGCAGTTAAAAAATAAGGAAACGGAATTTGATAGTGGCATATTGTTTTATACTTCTCTATAAATCACTTATAGTGAAAAAGATAAGGGAAGTAATATAAAATTTTGGAAGTATTAGTAGTAAATAACAAACTTGTTAAAATGTTGACTGTGTAAAAATGTTATTTTATTGCTAGCTGAAACACTGATTGCAAAATATATATATATGTTACTGTGAAAGACCGAAATTGGAGAATGTCGACATTCGCCGGTGAATGTCAACATATACCAAATACGTCGGTGAAGACCGAATATTTCGTTATATTCTTGTACATTCCGACCATCACTGGTGTACGTCAACAATCACAGATATACTGTGGTGGAGGTTGAAAAGAGAAGTCGAGTTCAACAGAGAGGCGACTGTCTGTTGCCAATTCCTTTGCTCTGCTGCGATTGAAGTTATGTAGCACGTATTTGTTATATTCTGGAACACTGTCAGTCTTATGCTAGGCTTGATGGTATGCACAAAATTTTTTTTTTTTTTTTTTTTTTTTTTTATCCAATACCCTAATTTATGTTTAATGGATACTGCAGTGAATCGAGAACTTTTCCTTGAAAGGTTAAATGCATTAATTGCAAGTAAACGAGAAGACAATTGTTTTTATTTTTCAAACACAGCTTTGAACCACATCTCTCCTCACGAGGACTGAATACTCCTTATGAAACTATGTTTGGCATAAAACCAAGAAGAGGCATAGCATCGTCTTTTTTTCCTGGCAAACAAATCGCAAATATTAAAACCAAAAACAACTCTTAAGAAATTGCCAATACTTTTGAAACTGAAGAACAGCTTGAAGAAACTGTTAATACTTTTGAAGAAAATCTGAGCAGTGGCCACACAGAAAAACCATATTCCAAAGAAAAATATTGAGGAGGACCTGCAACCTACCACGTCTTCGTATCAAGCCTAGACTGAACAACACGCGTTAATTTCTATAAAAAGATCAGCCACAAAAGAGAATCTTTTACTGCAAGCAACGAAAATGTTATGGACTTCAAAAAAAATTTTCTCCTGCTCAAATTGGTGATACCGTATGAATACAAGTCCCTGATGTCGACCGTGATTGTACAGATGGCTGAAATGTGTTGGCAGTTGTTGGGATAAGACTCTGGCTTTTATAAACTAGCAAATAATTCGAGAAGTAGAGGGCATGGCTATACATGTTGTCACTGCAAAAGGAAGTCTTCAACAACTAAATGCAGTTGTAAAAGCAAGGGACTCTTGTGCAATTCAAAATGTCATAAAAGTTTGTTTTTGCAATAAGATTTCAATAACATAATTGAGTTTTTTTATATATTATTTTCTTTTCTCAGTTAGAATGCATTGTTTAAGTTCAAAAGTTTATTTACATGTGCTGTTACTTAAGCTTTTTCATATTTTGACATATACAGTATAAATGCAGAATTAAAGTTCTTTATTGACTAACTTAAAATCTAAATGCTTAACATTTATCCAAGCACGACTGCTGTGATTATTAAGAAGTAAAGTAATATCAAGTAGTCCTTCTCGCATTAGAATCAAAAGCTATGTCACACAGTGAAAACGCCTCTATAGAGTTACGAACAACTCTTGTCACCAGGGTTTGGTTATTCCTCTCAGCAAAACAGGCGAAAACGTTATATCACTCTTGAAGTTTTATGGTGCCAGAAATACGGAGAACAAAATGCAAGTCTCTGACATATTCAACATTCACTATTAGTGCATGGTGAGAGTTGACATTTGCAGGTGCAAGTCAAAAAAAAGGATATTTGGCAAATACTGTTATGGACATGCGCCAAGCGACTATGTGAATGTCAATATTCTCCAAATCTTGGTCTCTCACAATAACATATATATATATATTCTCATTGTGCATATATATGCAAAATATATATATATATGCAAAATATTTTCGTAGTGCTTACGAGTACTGCTGTAACACTTTCACTGCTGATCATGTGAGGTTGTGTTGATAGTTAATACTGTTGTAGAAATAGATTGCACCCATATGCAAACTTACTTATTATAAGGAATATGATTTAAACGCGGTAAAAAAGGATTATTATGTATACCACATTGATTACTTTAAGCATAGAATTTTATGACTACATGCCAGCACGTGGAGAGGGTTGAATTTTAAAGTAATTATTGTAATAAGTTTTTAAAAAATGTTTTATTAAAAATGTTTAGGGCATTAATACTGTCTCATGTTAATTAGTATTGAAAGTTTATAGCTGGAAACATCCCGAAGTCTCAGTACACGTATGTACATTCACATAAAAGTGAAACTAAATATATATATACAGTCAAAAGTCTTTAATCCGGAATGATCTATAATTTGGACCTCAAAGCTACAAACTTTCTGGGCATGCGTAAACGCATAATACCTTTACGCATGCTCATACTATGTTTACGCTTGCACATTTAACATAAAACAGATGGTATAAGCTAAGCTAAAATTATCTATTTCAGTTAATGCTGCAGATTGTGTTGTTCTTTAATCTTCTAATTGGATCTGGCTTATTATTTTTTGCAGACTGTTAGGGCAATTTTATAAAAGTAAGCTTGAATTTTCGATTATGTCAAAAAGAATTTCTGATTCTGGAGCTGCCAAAGGATCTACAAAGCAAAAGCATGTTTCAATGTCCATAAAACAAAAAGTGAAATTGCTGCAAAAAATAAATAAAGACTTATCCTTTGTTTCTCTAACCATTCCGAAATCTGTTTATCAATTACACGCTAGTCTGCGCGGGGGGGGGGGGACGTCGCAGCGGCGCAATGAACTAGAAGTTGATTTGTGAGCACTATCCTTATCTTCAAGGCAGATGTTTTTATTGCTGGCAGTGGTGATAAAGGCAAAGCATATTTTGCTTCCCTTAAATAAAGCTAAGACTAATCTAAATAAAATTCATGCTTTATTCCGTAAATAAAATAAAATAAGCTAACACTGTAGCCTTTACATTTAAAATCATTAAGTGAAAGAAAAACTAGCATTATGCTAACTCATAATACCAAGAGAACAAGAAATTCGCCGATACCGGCATACATATATATAATACTCGGCCTACCCGCAGATCTTGACGTCATCGGCCTATCAGCGGCAACCACGTTAGCTTACCGCCGATTGATCTCCGATCAAAATTTGCATGTGGAAAACTAAAGCCAACAAATGGCCCTCTTTTCCTCATGCAAAGACAAAAACAAAACTTACACAGAATTACAGAAGTTCATAGTTCAATTCCATTATACGAAAACACTTATTGTCTTTAAACACTGAAAACATCTAACAAAACTTCTTAAATTAACAGCAGTTGTGCTTTTGTAAATAAGTCGGCAGTATTTAATTACTGGTGATAAATTCAAGGTCAAACACTCCATCATTTAATAGTCTTCTAACAAAGTGATATTTTTACGTATGTGCTTAGTTCGGCGTTTTTTCTATTGGCGACTAGAAAAATCAATGGCAGACTGTTATCACAAAATAGTTTACACTCTCTTATATTAAACTTTAAAATTTCATTTGTAAGACATTTTTGTCACATTAATTCTTCGCTGCTTCAGATAAGGCGATATACTCGCTTCCATGGTTGATAAACTTACACATTTTTGTTTAACAGTTTTTCAGATTACTGGTACTTCATCTAAATATAATATAAATCCCCATGGACACGCGGTCATCTCTATACTTGCATAATCAGCATCTGAATAACAGTATAAAATTTATATGTTTAATTTTCGATAAGTTACTTATATAATTTAGTACTATGAGAAACCTAGCAATTTCAATAATGCTACCAATGCCTAATTCCAGGATTTTCCTGAAATTGTGATAAGATATTCACTGCATATGTAATCTCAGGCCTTGTCCTGTTAGCTACAAAAACTAAACATCCTAACAGATTTCTAAAGGGTAATGTATGCATTTCTGCAATTTCTGCACTTGTAGATGGACAATCTAATTTGTAAGAATAGTGCCTTTAGCTATGGGAAGTGAAGTTATTGGTATCTGGAAATGTTTAAATTTTTCAAAAATTTCTTCGATAATATTTTTTGCTGATGTTAAAAACCCAAACCCCATTCTCATTCTCTAAGAATTCAATTCCAAGTAACGCTTTAGTTTGCCTAATACTACTTTAAGATCAAAAAACTTATCCAGCTGTGAAATTACTTTATCTATACTATATTGATCTTTACTAAAAATCACAATATCATCTATGTATAACAAGAGAATTACATTTGAACTCTTATAAACACAATTACACCATTGTATTTTCTTAAAATGAAGATTTTTCTAAAGTACTTTCAAATTCACAAAACCATTCACGGCCGCTTTGATGTAGACCGTAAATGGCCGTGTATAATAAACACACTTTACTTTCCTCTTCGATAAATTCCTCTGGTTGGGTCATATATAGTTTTTCATTTAGGTTTGCATATAAATATGCATTCTTTACATCTAACTGACAATTAGTCCATCCATTTAAACATACCAGGCTAGTGAAAAATATTCTTATGATTGAAAAATTTACTACAGAACTGTAAACATCATCAAAATCTTCACTTCTTTTCTGCCTGAATCCCTGTGCTACTAAATGTGCTTTGTATCTAACCACTTGAATATTTTCATTTCTTTTTAGCATATAGACCCATTTGTTTCTTATCATAGTTTTATTTTCTGGCTTTTCGACTAATTCCCAAACCTTTCTTTTCTTCATGGTGTCAATTTCTTCTTTCATCGCCTTATCCTATTCTTAGGCATTTACTGATTTTCGAGCTTCTTTAAAATTTTGTGGGATAACAATTTCTA